CACACACACACACACACACACACACACACACACACACACACACACACACACACACACACACACACACAATTCCTTGAAACCTGGCATTGTATTGTATGAAGGTTGTGTTGTAAAGTACCACAGTTTGCCAAGAGCTGACTTATAATATTTCATTACACTTCTCTGCTCAAGTCTCACTGGATTTAGTGATTGAATGAGCAAATTATTCCCTCTGAATGCTGCTTCACGTGTAACCGAATGTGGCTTCATTGTGTGCTGGTTAATGGTATCAGGCTTTTAGCGCTTCTTGTGAGAGAAACATACTCATGTGCTTCAGATACGGTCTGCCAAACATCAGCTCCACACATGACTGAGGAGTCGTATCTGTCATAGCTGACACATAAATATATATCCAAACCTTGCATTTGCTAGACAGACCAAAAAAAACAAAAACCTAGCATTTAATTGCTAAAAAATAGTCAAAACCACTAATATTGTAAATTATTTTTACTATTTGAAGGAACTTCCTATTATCGAAGAATCTTGGAAAAAATGTTTCCACAAAAATATTAAGCATCACTGTTTGACAATAATCAGAAACGTTTCTTGAGCAGCAAATCAGCATATTAGAATGATTTCTGAAGATCATGTGACACTGAAGACTGGAGTAATGATGCTGAAAATTCAGCTTTGATCACAGAAATAAATTACAGTTTAACAGATATTCACATAGAAAAGAGTTAATTTAAATTGTAATAATATTTCAGGATTTTGCTGTTTTCACTGTATTTTCAATCAAATAAATGCAGCCTTGATGAGCAGAAGAGGCTTCTTTCATTTAAAAACATTTAAGAATCTTACAAACCCCAAACTTAACATGTAAAATAGTATCAAATATATATTAGAGGTTTTACAGATTATAATGTGACATTTTTGAAACTGGGATGAAATATTCATGTGATCCAGCATTTCTGCTTTTTTTACAGCGGATTTTGGAGTTTCTGCAAAAAACACCAAAACTCTTCAACGACGAGACTCTTTTATCGGGACGCCATATTGGTAAGTGCTATAAATCAATGATCTGCTTTCATAAATATTTCAGGCAAAAAGATATTGGGCAAGTGCAGTTGAAACTGCTTAAGGTTGATCTATATTATAATATATTTAATATATAATATATATAATATAATATTTACAGCAGTCTGTTAATGTTTACAGCATGTCACATGACTGCAGACAGGCTCGTCAGGCAAGTCACTAAATAAAAGTAATTATAATTATTAATAATCATTGCAGGTTTATTACATAATAATTACTAAATAATGACATATATAAGAACAAATAGACTTTTAAGCAAAATAATAGGGATGCATCAAAATTAATTTTACACCGAAGCACCAAAACCAAAATTAAAGTTTTAATTTCACTGATAATCGAAAACAAACATTTTAGGTTTATTTAATAATCAATTCATTAAGAGGAGATTTTATTTATATAACTACTCCAGTTTGTAGTTTAAATATAAACATTTAGACGGTGGATGTAATAAAAGCTTGTTTTCACGACAGATTTATTCAAACATACATTTAATAATGAAGACAAAAGTTTAATTGAAATTTAATGAATATATTAGTATAGTGAATACATTTAGCAAAACGATAGAATGCTAACAAGTTATGGACAGTGGATGGCTTTCTAGAGGTAAATATGAAGTTATGTGACATTGTTTCTAAGCTCTTTTATTGACGTCTTTCTTTGGTTGAAAGATTGACTGATTACATGAGACATGATTCATTTCAGGAAGTTTTTCTCAACACCTTCAGATGTTCACTCATGTTTATTTTGTGCTATAGCTAGTAGTAAAGAGGAAGAGATTATCGGTTCATGTGCCGCTTCAACTGAGCTCTAATTAATTGTCACTGTTTCTGGTCAGTAATTTTGGCCCTCCAAAATAGTTTCAGTGCATAATATAATTATACAAAACAGAATTATAATTAATAATTACACATTTCATGAGATTCCGATAAAACTAAGAGAAAGGGACAGATTTGTTGTGTCCCACAGGACTAAAGCAATCATTAACTAGAGTTCAGTTTGAATGCCTTGATATGAAATATCTTTCTTACCTTTGTACTTCCTTTTAAATTTTGGAGCTAGTTTATCGCTTTATCTGACTCGTAAACAAATGTTATCAATTCTATTAGTGGCTTGTAGTGAATTCTTTCAGTCACTGGCTAACAGTGCTTGGTAGATGACTTACAAATTGTAGTCCATTACTGATTACAGATTACATTACAAAATTTGTAATTAGTAGCATAATCTGGATTATACATATTAGGTAATGCAGTCTGATTATTACTTTTAGATTACCTTGGACATAACTCGTTAAATTATTGAAATCTTTGGGGGGCTTCAAGTAAACTCACAAAAAAAACTTGGGAATCTCTGAATTACATGAACAAACATAAATAAACATGAAAATGTGACATTACATGACCAAAGGCTTCCAGGTTTGAAATATTTTTGTCCAGACTTTAAATATGTGACCCTGAAGCACAAAAGCAGTCATAAGTAGCACAGGTATATTTGTAGCAATAGCCAGCAATACATTGCATGGGTCAAAATGATCGTTTTTTCTTTTATGCCAAAAATCATTAGGATATTAAGTAAAGATCATGTTCCATGAAGATATTTTGTAAATTTCCTACCGTAAATATATCAAAACTTAATTTTTGATTAGTGATATGCATTGCTAAGAACTTAATTTGGACAACTTTAAAGATGATTTTCTCAATATTTTGATATTTCTCATGTAAATGTATATGTATGTGTATATATATGTGTGTGTGTGTGTGTGTGTGTGAGTGGTCGGTGTACATATAAGTGGTTGGTTTATTAAGAAACTGAACAGAACTGGTGTGAATCAATAAATTATGAATATTTACTGCCTTTGTGTGAATGATATGTAATCATGTAATCCATAAAAAAGTAACTGTAATCCAATTACAAGTACCAAGTACTTGTTTCCTCACTGGGAATGTATTCAAGCCCTTTGGTTTTGGTCTGACCGGCTCTGAGCTGGACCTGCTCTGATGTCTCCTGTATGTTCAGGATGGCTCCAGAGGTGGTGATGTGCGAGACCATGAAGGACGCTCCATACGACTACAAAGCCGACATCTGGTCACTGGGCATCACGCTGATCGAGCTGGCTCAGATAGAGCCGCCTCACCACGAGCTGAACCCCATGAGGGTCCTGCTAAAAATCGCCAAGTCTGAGCCTCCCACCCTGGAGCAGCCTGCCAAGTGGTGAGCCACAAAGATTTTAGTGACTTATATCATTACTGTAAGATTCCTTCTGAAGATGGGCTGTTCTGTGAGCATAGCTGTGGCTTTTTTCTTAGGTTTATAGCGTTTAACATTTCTAGAATGTGACTGGCTGTCGAATGTTGTTTTATCACCATTACACAACGAGAGATTGCATCCCCCTCTCGGGCGAATGCTTAATGGTTTTGTATATTTCAGGTCGATGGAATTTAAGGATTTCCTGAAAAAAGCTTTGGACAGAAACCCTGAGACGAGGCCGACGACTGCTCAGCTTCTAGAAGTAAGGAATCTCACACACAGACTTGTCATGTGTCCATTAGGCCTGGGCGATAAAACGGTATCGGTATTTATCGACGGTACACCTTCTTCGATAACGATATAAACATTTTTTTATATATTGCACGATATAGGCACGTGCTATGAGTGACGCAGACAGCACACACAAACACGGACATGAGTGCTGTGCCTGCCTGTGATGAGGAGATTGTGAATAAAAAAAATTATATTAGTCGAATTTACAATAAACACTTGCATTTCAGTGCAAAAATAGTACAATCAAATGTTAGGTGTGCATCAGGGAGCGTCATCAGTGGCGTGC